TCCTGGGCTCGAGCGATCCTTCTGCCTCAGCCTCCTGAGTAGCTGGGACTACAGGCATGCACCACCATGCCGGCTAATTTTTTCTATATATTTTTAGTTGTCCGATTAATTTCTTTCTATTTTTAGTAGAGACGGGGTCTCACTCTTGCTCAGGCTGGTCTCGAACTCCCGAGCTCAAACAATCCGCCCGCCTCGGCCTCCTAGAGTGCTAGGATTACAGGCGTGAGGCACCGCGCCCAGCCCTCATATCACATGTTTATATAACCTTTCTGGTTAGCCTGGAGATGAATAGTGGGTAAATGTAAAATTAATCAGGTTGTGACTTGAATTGAAGCTGCTATTCCAGATGATGTTGTTTTCCTATAGCAAATCAACATAGCTCCCTGGCATCTGGTATGCAGTTATTCATCTGACAAATGTTCTTTTTTCCCAGTCAGCGGAGAACATCAGAAGCGGCTTGCTTTCATCTGGTAGAAACAGAAGTACAACCTCCGGACTATGTGTATTCTCTGGCTCACTGTCATAATCTAGGGCGAATGAAACTTTATTGTCATGACCATCATGCTGGTTCATTGCACTGCTGACATTATACTTACTGGACCAGGTGATGAAGAGGAAGCAAATATTCTAGATCTTCGGTTCCCAACCCTGGGGCTGCAAACTGGTACTGGTCAGTGGCCTGTTAGGGACCTAGCCGCAGAGCTCTGCAACTGCCACCTCTCCCCTCACACCCCCACCCCTGTCCATGGAAAGTGGGCGCAGGGGGCACATAGCGGAGGTAAGTGGCGGGCTGGTCGAGGGAGAAGCTTCTTCTGTATTTACAGCCACTCCCCACCGCTCCCATCACTGCCTGAGCTCCACCTCTCACCGCCCCCATCTGTGGAAAAATTGTCTTCCATGAAACCAGTCCCTGGTGCCAAAAAAGTTGGGGACCGCTCTTCTAGATGTTTTATTAAGACATGAGTATGCCAGAGGGTGGGAGATAAATCCCAATTAAAAGCCTGAACCTCAGTGAAGTTTTTAGATGGTCCGACTCATGTTGGGCATTCAACAAGTTGCTGCACCTCATACCACCTACCACTCAGAAGGAGATACAGCATTTGGTGTGGCTATTTGGATTTTGTAGGCAACACACACTACATTTAAGTGTAATTGCATGTTTTTAGTGGGACCTAGGGCAAGAAAAGGGTCTATAACAAGTCCAGGCCACTTGACCCTTATGACCCTGCAGATCTAGCATGCACAGAGCCTTTGACATATCGAGAGGCTACATGGAGCCTCTGGCAAGTCTCAATAGGAGAAATATACAGCAGCCCCCTAAAGATTTGAACCAAACTGTGCCCTCTACCAGAAAAGAAATATTTTCCTTTTGATCAACAGCTTCTGGCTTGCCCCTGGGCTGTGGCAATTTGAATGCCTGACTATGGGGCACCGAGGAACTTCAGCTATCCCTGGTAAATTGGGTACTACTTGATCATCCACTGGAAGTGGAATATTTGAGACCACACTCAAGCAAGTCTGGAAGGTACAGGAAAGTTGCTTGAGCAGGTGTCTCATATCTCTGTGTCCTCTAGTGCTACATAACAACCTTTCCTTCAGTTCACTCCTATAATATCATAGGGAGTTCCCCGTGACCAGGTATATTGGTCAAGGTCTCAGAAGGAAGCAAATGGTAGACTCAGTGGCTTGAAACAAGGAAAGTATAATGAGGGGATTTTTTTTTTTACAGCAATGTGAGCAAGGCTAAGAGAATTAGCAATGAGTGAGACTCCCAAGGACTAGCAAAAGTTGATATGGCCACACCCACGGCTGAGTACTCAACCTGCCCACAGCAGAGACCAACAATAAGCTCCCAGTATGGTAGTATTCTCTCAGGGGACCAGCCAGCTACCCGGTGGAAGATTGATGAAATTGAACCACATCCATCTCACTCGAATAGGTGCTTATTTTGTACAGGGATTTGCTTTTTTATAACCTACATTTCTGCTAGCCCTCCCATGCACAGACTTACTGAACTGCTTATTCACATTCACAATAGCATAACAGCACTTCTGACTAAGGAAATCATTATAGGGCAAAAGACAAATGGCAGTGTGCTTACGCTAATGAGCTCCACTAGTACTACCATGTATCTCAGAAGCACCTGGCTTGACAGGATGGTAAGATGGTTGATCTGTTGAAGACTCAGTTACTAACCTAGTGAGGTGAAAATGTGCTGAAAGGCAGAGGTCCTGTCTTACAGGATTAGGTAAATATTTTAAACAGGTGACCATTATATGGTGCTGTTTCTGCATAGCCAGAATCCGTGGGTCCAGGAATCAAGAGAGGAGCAACTCCTAATAATCCACCTGCGAGGTGTTTTTTCTCATCCTCACAACTGTGAGCTCTACTGGTTGGGAGGTCTTTGTTTCCAAGGGAGAAATGCTTCCGCCAGGGATGCAATATTGATTTCATTGAATTGCAGGCTAAGACTTTCACCTGGCCATTGGGGATTCTTTAGGCCACTGAATCAGCAGGCAAACCATGAGTCCTACTGAACTGGCTCACATGATTCGCATTGATTCTCAAGAGGAAATAGGAGTGCTGTTAAACAGTAAGGTCAGGGAGGACTGTGTCTTGAATTCAGGGGATCATCTGAGGCATCTCCTAGTAATGCCATGTCCAGGTAGGACCACTGAAGATTCAGACTAGTTAGAAATAAAGGTTTGGGTCACTCATCAGGTAAAGAATTGTGACAAGCCAAGGTCCTGGCTGGAGGGCCGGAGGGTGGGGGTAGTGGAAAAAAGAAGTTATAAACACCAATTACAGTGTCATGACTAGTTATAGAAATGAAGATTTTAGTAGCTGTGTGTGTAAACTTTTTCCCATCTCCCTTTTATGTTTTATAGACATCACTTGATAAGATTAACTTTGTAATTTTTTTCTTTAGATTATAGGATATTGACATGGGATGATACCTGAACTAGAAGAGGAATGATTATCCTTTAGAGATGGCTACTGTGCCTGATGGAACCTTTGGTCTCCTGTTTTAGGGAGTGTTTTTCAGTTTATAGAAAAGATAATAGCATTGTTTTAGTGTGAATAAGTTGTCGTTGCTATAGTAAGTTTATTCTATGTACAAGGGAGTGTGTGGATATTGAGTAGCTGGTCAGGGGAGGGTGTCCTGTGCTGGATATGTATTAATAGTTTCCCTCTCAACTTTCATTTCACCATCCTTGTATTTGGAGAGGTGGGAAATCTAAAAAAGATATTAAACATTGTCTTCAATCTATATTTGTGGATGTAAATTAGGTTTAGCTAATGTGAGATTTGGAAAACAGAGAGGAGGCAGATGGTTGCAGTGCTGGTGAGAGTGAAGTGGGCTCTGAGGTGTGAGTGTTGCCAGCAATAGTCTCCTAACCTCTGCTTTGCAGCTCTGGTGTGACCCTGAAGCCAAAACTCTAGTGTCAGTCCCTGATTCTGGTTGCTCCAGCACTGCCAATGCCTCCCTAAATCAAATCCCTTTCTGTGTGAAACACCTAGAGTAGATTCTGTTCTCTCCATTGAACCCCACATAATTATAGAATGACAAATGAGCCATGTCATTTTTTTTTTTTTTTTTGAGACAGAGTCTGGCTCTGTTGCCCGGGCTAGAGTGCCGTGGCGTCAGCCTAGCTCACAGCAACCTCAAACTCCTGGGCTCAAGTGATCCTCCCAAGTACCTGGGACCACAGGTGCTCGCCACCACGCCCCGCTAATATTTTATTTCTATTTTTAGTTGGCTGGCTAATTTTTTTCTTTTTTTAGTAGAGATGGGGTCTCTCTCTTGCTCAGGTTGGTCTCAAACTCCTGACTGCAAGTGATCCTCCCGCCTCGGCCTCCCACAGTGCTAGGATTACAGGCGTGAGTCACTGTGCTGGCCCAGCCATGTCATTCAAAACAGTCTTCTCTCCTTGAAAATTTCAGATGTATGGTAGCAGGTTGAGAAGTCTCTTTGTAAGTCATTTGTTTCTTCCAAGTGTGACTTCCAAGTGAGAGGCATCACACCCAGGGGAAAGAGCACTCTAGATCAGGGAGCTGGCAGATGCCACCGAGTATTACATAGATGGTACCCACAGGGAATGGAGGGTGGTGTGTAAGAGGATGGACTCTTGAGACAGCCCTGGCTGTCTATGGATGATTTCCAAGTTATATGGCTCTGGACAAGTGATATTATCATCCTGTTTTTCATGTTACTCACTTGCAAAATTGAGATAATAATAGGGCCCATTTCATAGGGTATTTGTGTGGATCAAATGAGATAATGCCTGTAAAGTCCTTAGCACAATAACTGGCACTTAGGAAGGTCATGATAAATCTTAGGTGTTTATTATTGTTATTGTTATCATTTAGAGTGCTCAGCACACTGCCTGACACAGTCAACCTTAGAGCCATCTTTTAAAACCTTACAGTCAAAGAGACTGCAAACAGCACTACCTTTTGAATCTGGGTCATTTGAGTTCATTAGGACATTTAAACAGTTTTGCCAGCAAAGCTTATCACTGAACACAATGATCTTTGCAGGAGGGGCATAAAAACACAGTACTCTGCAAACAATCAAGTGGAACAGTGAAGTCCAAGACGAATGTTTCTTTTCTTCCTCCCTGAATCATGTACACAGCAGATGCGGGTGGTAGGTTTCAGGGCTCTCCTGCCAGTGAGGCCCAGGGACTAGCCCTTTTGAAGTAGCAGGTCAGAGATGGGCTCTCTCACCCACCGCTCGAGCTCCACTCTTAGAACAGTCCCCTGGGCCCCTGGGTGAGACGGGCAAGGCGCCCTGTATAGAGTCCCCCAACGCACTGCCACTGGCGTCACTGCACTTGCTCGAAGGGGCCTTCTGGTCTCCGCTTCTTTTCCCATCGTCTTGGGCTGCGGGGCTGCGCCGGTCCCCTTCCGGGGGGTCGCAGCGGCCGCTCGGGGCGGCGCTGGGCAGGCGGGCGCAGGGCCCGCCCCACCGGCATCCCTGGCCCGACTTCCTCCTGCAGCGGGCGGCCGGCCCAGCTGGAGGAAACGGCGGCGGCGGCCACGATGAGCGCGGGCGACGCCGTGTGCACCGGCTGGCTGGTCAAGTCGCCCCCCGAGAGGAAGCTGCAGCGCTACGTGAGTAGGGGCGCAGCCACTCGCCGGGCCTTCGCGGCCCTGGGCGCTCGCCCGCGGTGTGGCCGCGCGGTGGCCCCGGGAGCCCCGGGGCTCTGGGCGCGCCAGACGCAGCCGCTCCCAGCTCCCGGGACGGCAGGCGAGGCCGGATTGACGGAAAGCGAAATCGCACGTCGAGCCAGCGTCGCCGCGGTACCCGGGAGCGGGCCGGGGCCAGGTAGCTCTTGCCCGCGGGACTAGACGGCTCCAGACCACCGCTGGCCGTAGCGGAGGGAGGCGGGTTGGAGCTGAAACCCCAGGCGGCGGGAGACATCTCGAAAGAGTACCACTGTCTCTGGCGGGAAGTGGCTCTGAGTCCCATTTCCCAGGGAAGGGCACTGACAGCGGGAGGGGACTGGCCTGGGCCAGGCGGGCAGGGAGGCTCCTGCATTACCCTAGGACAGTAAGGAGTGCTGTCTCTTGTCGCTGTCGTCAGACACTCCTGTCTGGAGACCTACACGGTGTACCTCGTCTCTCATCGTGTTGTTTTCAGCTTTTTCTTTATGCTGACAGCGCGCTTTTCTAGTGCCAGCAGGAACCGTTGACTTTTACTAGTATGCAATTAGGAACACTTGGAAGAAGAGCACATCTTCCTACACATTCCAGACCGTTTTTAAACGTTCTACAGACAGCTCAAACGTTCATTATCTCCATCGGCGTCCTCGGGATAAAGTCTTTAAAACATTCTGCTTAAAGACCTCATTGCAACTATTTTCCAGCCATTAGGAAGAACCACTTCAGTCCCCGGGAGTTGCATATAAATAGATATTAGGGCTTCTTGCCTTTTTACACTGGAAGTAGCTTGATGGATTCATCTTGTTGATAGTTCCTAATTTCTCTGTAAGTCCACAGCATGGTGGTAGGAACAAACTCGCGCATGTCTGCACTCATGTTCTGCTGAACAACATTTTACAGGAATATTGTTGTGTTTAGCATGTAGATATCACAGATGTATAAATACCAAGATTTCGCTGATTAACTGCCAGTGTGTCCCTACATCACTTTTTCTTTTTTTTGAGTCCATGAGTCCATAAGCACAGGGTCCAGTATCTCACTACTCCTTTGACCTGCATGGGCAGGTGAGGCTTTTGTCACAGAGTGGTACTTGCAGTGCTGACTCAGGGTGGGTTTCCTTGTAGTCCTTTAGAACGAGAGATATTGGAAGAGTGACACTTACTTTCTGGTAGATGATTCAGAAAGATGATGAGCCTGGAGGGCAAAGTTTATGGAAGATTTTTTCCCAATCTTGTTTTGTATCTTCTCCTGAGCAGACTGGCCTGGGAATTTATTGGTGTTTTGTAAACCTTGGGGAGGCATGGTTGTGCATACCTATTATCATACGTGGCTCATTCTTTTTAGGTAGTACAGGGGTGTGGCGAGAGTGGACGTTGCACAGCTTAGAGATGTGTGGGGTATGTAATGATAAGGTGGTGATAGAGGAAACATGACACAAAAGATCCCAGATGTCATCTTACCAAAACTCCAAGACATAAATCTTGATGATTGGGACATTTTTAAAGGACGGTCAGAGTCTTTTAGATAGTCAATGTTGGTTTTTTTGTTTGTTTGTTTGTTTTTTGCTGAAAGGCATCTGTCCCTGGAACACACCTCAAAAAGAAAAGTCCGTTTCTTCTCCTCGCTAAATTCTGCAGGAATCCTTTTTGCCACTAGATGGCGATCATATGTCACTTTGACGCGACTTGGAAAGTTGGTTTATTTTCGGCTCCTCGGGTCAGGAGTAAACTACTCCTTTCTCCTATTAATTTGGCGCCAACTCTGAAATAGGCCCGGTGTTACCAAATAGGAGGACAGAGAAAAAAGACTTGATCCTAGTCCTCAAGGACTCCATAATCTGTCGTTTATAATATAGTAACATAACAAAGCTAGTTAGTAGCACAACCAGGGCAATAACTCAGTTCTTTGTGCTGCTAGGCCAGCAAGCAGCACCCATCAATGTTTGCTGTTACAAATAGAAGCTCAGTCTGTTTTTAGGCAAATCTTTCAGTCCAAGGTAAGCTTGTATTTCATCCACTTTGAATCCATCAGCCAAGACAATCAGAAAGTTATTTATCAATGCTCTTTTTTTTTTTTATTATTTCAGGGTGTTGTGAGGGTACAAACATTATGGTTGCACTTTATGTCTTTGCCTCACCCAAGTGCGGGTTAAAGGCATGCCCTTCCCCCCCTACAGTGCTCCCCGTGTCCTTTAGTTGCGGATTTACCCACCCCCCCAAATCCCCCTAATCCCTGGAGAATATTTCTGCCACGTGATCACCCTAGTGTTTGTTGATCAGTTAGTACCAATTTGATGGTGAGTACAAGTTTATCATTGCTCTTTAAAAGATAGTTAATTCTTTTGTATATTTTTGTTTCACAAGTAATACAGAAATATATTTATTGTAAAAATTCAAACAATATAGGAATAAATAAAATGAAAAGTGAAGACCCCTTTTAGATTTTGCCCACATTCTACCCTCCCTTTGTACTCCTCCTTATTCCACTCCCCTCCCCAGGGACAACTGTTAGCAGTTTAGTCTTGAAAAATTTCCAGAAAATATATAATTTTCTCCTTGCACAAATGGGATATTATACTAATTGTCCTGCAATCTGCTTTCTTCATAATTCTGGACATCTTTCCAGCTTAGTACATATAGATTTACTCCATTTTTTTAAACCATTGCCAAATATTCCTTATAAAAGATGTAACATAATTTAACAATTTCTCTATTGATGAATATTTGGCTTGCTTCTATTTCCCGAATTTTGAAGAATATTATAATAACAATGATAATAAAGTTATAATAGTTCACATTTGGTGAATTCTGATATGTGCCACGCACTACGCTAAGAACCTTACTTGTATTAACTCATTTAGTCTTCAAAACAATGCTAAGAGCCCAGTACTGTTTTTGTCTCCGGATACAAATTCTTTGTTGGATATGTAATTTGCAAACATTTTCTAGCAATCTGTAGTTTGTCTTTTATTCTCTTTACAGTATCTTTTGTAGAACTAAAATTTTTGTGAAATCCCAAATATCAATTTTTCTTTTGTGAATCATACTTTTAGTGTCAAATCTAAGAAGTCTCACCTAGCCTAAGATCCTGAAGATTTTCTTCTGTTTTTTTTCTAAAAGCTTTACAATTTTACATTTAGATCTGTGATCCATTTTGAGTTAATTTTGTACCAGTTGTGAGGTTTATGTCATGGTTCATTTTCTCATATACAGATTCCATTTTTTCCAATACCATTTATCAAGTAGACTGTCTACTCCATGGACTTACTTTTGAAACTTTGTCAAAAATCAATTTACCAGATTTATATAGGTCTATTTCTGGATCCTCTAGTCTGTTCCATTGATCTATTTGTTCATCTTTATGCCAATATTTGATGCTGCTTGATGATAGTAGTTTCAGCCCTCCAACTTTGTTTTTCTTTTTCAGAGTTGCTTTGATTATTTTAGGGCCTTTGCTTTTCTATATCAATTTTAGAACTAGTTTGTCAATTGATTTTATTGATTTTGTATCCTGTAGTTTTGCTAAACTCACTTATTAGTTCTAGTAGCCTTGTTTGCAGTTGGAACCTGCAGTATTATAAATATTGCATAGAAAGGATGACAGCAGACATCCTTAACTTTTTCTTGATCTCAGGGGGAAAGCATTCAGCTTTTTGTCTTTTAAATATGTTGGCTGTAGGCTTTTTTGCAGGTGCCTTTTACCAAATTGAGGAAGTTCCCCTGTATTGCTAGTTTGCTGAGACTTGTTATCATGAATTAGATTTTGTTAAATGCTTTTCCCACATCCATAAAAATAATAATATCCTTTTCTTTTTCAGTCTGTTACTATGGTGAATTATACTGGTTGATTTTTCAATGTTGAGCCAGTCTTGAACTCCTGGAATAAACTTGAGTTGGACACGATATATCATTCTTTTCATATATTGCTGGATTTGCTTTGCTAATGTTTTGCTGAGGATATTTGTGTCTCTGTTCATGGGGGATATTGATCTGCAATTTTCCTTTTTTGTACTGTCTTTGACATTAACATAATGCTGGCCTCATAAAATGAAATGGGAAGTGTCCTCTCCTCTTGTATTTTCTGAAACATATTGTATAGAATTGGTATTCCTTCCTTAAATGCTTGGTAGAATTCACCATTGAACCTATCTGGGCCTGGACTTTTCTTTGTGGGAAAGTTATTAACTATAAATTTCATTTCTTTAATAGGTAAAGAGCTACTCAGGTTATCCATATCTTTTTGACCAAGCTTTAGTAGTTTGTATCTTTCAAGGATTTTCTCTGTTTCATCTAAGTTCTTGAATTTATTGGCGTGAAGTTGTTTGTTTTGTTCCCTTATTATCCTTTTAATGTTTATAGGATTTGTAGTGAGGTCTTTTCTTTCATTTATGATACTACTGTAATTTACGTCTTCTATGTTTTTTTTTTCCTGATCAGTCATGATAGAGTTTTATCAATTTTTCTGTTATTTTCTAAAAACAAGCCTTTGGTTTCATTGATCTTCTCTACTTTCTTTCTGCATTCAATTTCATTGATTTATCCTCTTATCTTTATTATTTCCATCCTTTTGATTGCTTTGGGTTTAATTTGATCACGTCTTCATCTAGTTCCTTAGTGAGGAAACTTTAAATCACTCATTAAAGACCTCTCTTATTCTCTAATATAAGCATTTATGCTACAAACTTCAAGTGCTGCTTTTAGGTGCATCCCACAATATTGGGTATGTATTGTTTTCATTTTTATTCATTTCAAAATATTATTTAATTTCCCCTGAGAGTTTGTCTTTAACCCAAGGGTTGTCTAGAAGTTCTTTGTTTAATTTCCAAATATTGGATTTTCTACATGCCTGTTATTAATTTCTAGTTAAATTCCATTGTGATCCAAGAACAAAGTATAATTTCTATTCTTTAAAATTTGTTAAGTTTATATTATGGGCCACAATATAGTTTC